CTTGGTATCCTTGCACTGTTTCATCTGCTGTCATTATTTTGACGTTTCACCACTCTGTAGATCACATTGTCTTGGATTCTTCTACTCACAAAAATTAAATCACCTTGTAGGGATTGCCACCCAACCCCTCTTTCCAGCTGCAGCTCTGTCCATGGTGAGTTGTTACTATTTCCAACCTGTCAAGCAAGAGCTTCCACATTGTTGAACCTGCCTGTGATTCTTAGCATCTATTCTGCTGTGAGTAGGAGGCTTTCAAAATGATCATAAAAAAAACATCCAAGGAGAAGTGCACATTAAAAATGTCGGGCCTGTAATTCAGGGAAAGACCCTGTATAGAGTAGAGCATTTTCCCCAGCCAAGGAGTTTCCACAAAGCATCCTTCATGGTCCTGTTCCTCAGGCTGTAGATAAAAGGATTAAGCATGGGGGTGACCATTGTGTAGATCACAGATGCCACTATTCCAGTATCTGCTGAGTAGGAGGAGGATGGCTGAAAGTAGACGAGAAAGAGGGTCCCGTAGAAGAGGGTGACTACTGTTAGGTGAGAGCCACAGGTAGAAAAGACTTTGTGCTTTCCCTCAGCAGAGGGGACCCTGAGGATCGTGTGGATGATGTGGGCGTAAGAAATGAGGACACAGGTGAGAGGGATCACACCTGAGAGGGCTGCTTCCATGAACATCATAACCTGAAAAACATGGGTGTTTGAACAGGCCAGCTTGAGGAGCGGGAGAAGATCGCAGAAAAAGTGTGGGATCGAGTGAGAGGCACAGAAGGAGAACTGAGTCATGAGGAGCGTAAGTGAGAAGGCTAAGAGGTGGGAGCAGAACCAGGATGCAGCCACCAGCAGCAGGCAGCGTTGTGGTCGCATGATCGTGTTGTAGTGGAGAGGAAGGCAGATTGCCACGTAGCGGTCATAGGCCATCACAGCCAGCAGGAAGTCATCCAGCAGTGTCAGTGCCATGAAGAAGTACATCTGCACAAGGCAACCAGTGTAGGAGATGGTATGGTGCCGTGTCTTGATGTTCACCAGTACTTTGGGGACAATGGTGCAAGTGAAGCAGGTATCGATGAAGGACAGATTGGCTAAGAAGAAGTACATGGGTGTATGGAGGTGTGTGTCAGAGCTGATGGCCAGGATGATGAGCAGGTTTCCCAGCATGGTCATCAAGTACATGCCCAAAAAGACCCCAAACAGAAGAGGCTGCTGTTCTGGGTGCTCCGTGAAGCCCAGAAGAAGGAAGTCAGAAAGGCTTTGATTTGGTTTCTAATGTAGAGAAATCAGTGGAGAATCCTGCTTAAATAGAGCCAGTCTCTCAAGATCACCAAATGCAAGGAAAATAACACTTTGCCCATGAGCCCTAAGGAGTTCACTGTGACTTACGAGTAGTTATATTAGTAGGTGTGCCAATATGTATAAATAGATGAAGAATTTCGGTGCGAGTATAGTCCGGGTTTTATAATGAGGAAAGTGGATTCCATAGATTGCCTGAATGAGTTTAAAATGGTGTTCCCTGGGAATATATCCTCAACTTTTAATTCTTTCTGTCTTTGACACCTTCTGTTTCAAATATGGGCATCTTATTGTGGCACACATTTTGGGATTATGTAAATGCTAGGACTCAGCGGGCAACCCTGGCTCACTGATATATGTATGTGAGTGTGTGCATGTGTATTAAGGAAGATGTATGACAGAATCTTTTTTTAGAGAGAGGATCCGGCCGAGACTGTGGGATTTCTAACTGTATTGGGAGTTCTCTGCCTTTTTGCCATTGAAAATCCTTTGAGCTATTGCAGAGATGAGAACTTTGTACATGGAAAACACTTTATCAATAAAAGGGAGAGTTTCAATTTTAAAAATCAACTTCACCGTCAGTATCTTCAGTTTTGAGATAGTAAGTTTGGTATCTACTGATATAAATTTTAACTATCATTAACATGTGAGCAAATACGTCTATCTTAAACTAGTATTCGGGGATTCAGAGTTTTTAAAAATGAGCTAACATTGACAGTAACCTGTAAGTAAATATAGAGAAGTCAATTGTTAGTATTGACCTAAGATAGTGGCTGAGCACCACCTCAGTCTGAATGGACTGAGGGTGAAATTGTACCATGGTGTTGCACAGCTGTTAGGTCCTGGTCTCGGAAAGGACATGGGCATGGAGCAGGGTGGTCTGAGATCAACTCTCCACAATGTTCTCAAGGACCTGATGAACACCAGGGTAAGGCATCTCTTGTAGTAATCAGAAGATCCAGGAAATGCTTGAGAGGGAAGAATGAAGGGTGTGTGTGTGTGTGTGTGTGTGTGTGTGTGTGTGTGTGTGTGTGTGAGAGAGAGAGAGAGAGAGAGAGAGAGAGAGAGAGAGAGACTCTGCGCAGTGTTCTCTTTATCCCAATACTTCCCTTCTTACCTGGAGACGCTGGATAGTTTCAGATCCTGACATCATCACCAAGGAGATTCTATCTGCTCCCTCTCTAGCTCCCCCAAAAGAATTTGCCTTGGAATTGGACTTGCACAGACTTCCCCTCTCTGTAGCAGCAGCACAGACAGACGACTGAGGACTGGAGGTGCCTGACCTCAGGCACAGGAGCCAGGAGAAGCTGTTGGGTTTTGGCATGGAGTGTCCCCAGGGACCCAATCCCAGACCTCTTAGTTAGTGACAAGATAGGGCAACTGTCCAATCCCCTGTTGTCTCCTGGCCAGTGAGGGCACAGCTGCTGGTATTTTTCCCTCTGTGTAGAGGCAAGAGGAATTCTCCTTTCCTATCTCTAAGCGTGGTCCTTCCCTGCCATGGGGAGCACAGTTTTTAATTAGGACTTAGTCCTCATGAATGAAACAGTGTGTTCCAGACAAGAAGTAATAGCAAAAAAATATATCAAATGTCACAACCATTGCTTTCAAATGTCACATAGAAAAGAGAGGATTCTGTTTTCTGTGATCTCGGGAAGTAGACATGCGGCAATATACTGAATCTACAGGAGATCCCAGCGAGTGTTCTGGATGTCTTCTAGATATTTTGTTGTTAACGTACCATAAATACACAAAAGGTATAAAATTATGCTTACACTTAAAAAATAAATAAACACCTAACTTCCAATCCCTCAGATTAGATGTCATATCAAATTAATAGTCCTTTTTGCCCCAACTAGAAGAAAACACCATCCTGACTTTTCTTTGCCATTTCTTTATCATTTTATACTGTGCATATGTGTCTAAAGTATATTTATCCAGAAATACATGTTTTTGTTCTCTATGTGACCAAAATTAATTTTTGTGCCCATTTATAATGTGAATATTTCAGTCTGAATTACTTAAACTTTTTTGTGGCAATATATATATATATAACAAAAAGTTTGCCAATATAACTATTTTGAAATGTAGAATCAACGGCATTTATTACATTTGCCATATTATAGTAACATCATAGCTACTCGTACCCATACGTTTCACATTGCCCTAAACGGAAACTCAGTCCTCTTTCAGAAATAACTCTCTATTTCCTCCTCATTTCAGCTTTTCTGGCAAACACTAATAAACTTTGGTCTCTTTGCTTTTGTCTATTCTAGATATTTCATGTAAGTGGATAGTATACATTTTGTCTTTTATGTCTGACTTACTACACTTGCATAATGTTTTCAAGGTTCATCTATGTCATATCAACCGATAATTGAATATTTCATTACTCAACTGCCATCAAGTCAATACTGACTCACAGTGAGGCCCTGTCGGTTTCCAAAGCTGTAACCGTCGAGGGAAGTAGAAAGCCCAGTCTTTTTTCCATGGAGCTTCTGGTGGTTTCAAACTGCCAACCATGCGAATCTCAGCACCGGGGCTCCAGACAATATTCCATTTTATGTATATAATACATCTTGTTTAATCCATTGATTTGTTAATGGACATGGGTTGTTTTATTTTTAGCTGTTGTGAACATTCATTCACAAGTATCTGTATGAGTCCCAGGTCTCTTGGGTATCTGCTTAGGAGTGGAATTCCTGGATCATTCTATATTTCAATTTTTGAGGAAACCACACCAAACAGCTCTCTTAAGTGGCCGCACCATTTACATTTCCACTATGATTGGATGAATGTTCCAATTTTGCCCTATGGTAGCCGGTTGTTTTTCTGAATGCTGTCATTCTAGTAAGTATGAGGTGCTAACTCATTGTGATTTAGACTAATTATTTTACGCATCGTTTCATGAGCTTTGTTGTCAATTATAGCTCTTCTTTGGAGAAATGTCTCTCACTGCTGTCTATGATAAGATAAGATAATATCTATACATGTAAGGAAATCCAGTCAATACAGCATTATTCAAATTTATGCACCAATCACTGAAGCTAGAGATGAAGAAATTAAAGAATTATTTCAACTTATTCAGTCTGAAATTGATCAAACATGCAATCAAGATGCATTGAAAATCATTGGTGTTTGAAATGCAAAAGTTGAAAACAAAGAGGAAGGAACACCTATTGGAAAATGTATACCATTGGTTATAGGAACGAAGCTGGAGAGTGCATGATATAATTTTTCAAGACCAATGATTTCTTCATAGAACATACTCTTCTTTTTCTTCAGCAACACAAACAGTGGCTATAAATGTGGACGTCTCTTGACTGAATACACAGACATCAAATTGACTACATCAGTGGGGAGAGAGATCATTATCAGCAGCCAAAATGAGGCCAGGGGATGACTGTGGAGCAGACCATCAACTGATCAGGTTGAAGCTGACGGAAATGAAAATGAGCTCACAGGAGCCAAAATATGACCCTGAGTAGATCCCACCTACATTTTGAGAGTATTTCAAGAACCAACTTGATGCATTGAACACTGACAGAACACCTGATGAGATATAAGATGACATCAAGAACATCACATCTGTAGAAAGCAAAAGATCATTAAAAAGATAGGAAATAAAGAAAAGATCTAACAGGATGGCAGAAGAGACTCTGAAACTTTCACTGAATCATAGAGTAGCTAAGGAAATAGAAGAAATGATGGGTTTCCAAGAGCTGAACAACATTTTTCAAAGGACAAGCAAGAGAAGATAAGGCATTATAATAAAATGTCCAAAGTCTTGGAATTAGAAAACCAAAAAGGAAGAACATCCTCAGCATGTCTTAAACCAGAAGAACTGAAGGAAAACTCTAACCTCAAGTTGAAATACTAAAAGATTTTTTTGGCAAAATTTTGATGGATACAGGAAGCATCAAGAAGATGGGTAGAAACCAAAAAGTGGATGAAGGGAGACGTCGGACAGGGCAAGATATGACAAAATACCCATTTATAAACTATCAAGGGCTCATGCGGGAGGGGGGAGCGGGGAGGGAGGGGAAAAATGAGGACCTAATGTCGGGGGTTTAAATGGAGAGAAAATGTTTTGAGAAACGATGTACAAATGCGCTTTACACAATTGATGTGTGTATGGATTGGGATAACAGTTGTATGAGCCCCTAATAAAATGTTAAAAAAAAATAAACAAAAACAAACAAAAAAAAGATGGGTAGAATATACAGAGTCACTATATAAAAAGAGTTAGCTGTATAAGTGGGCTGTGCACAGTTGATGTATGTATGGATTGTGATAAGAGTTGTATGAGCCCCAATAAAATGATTTTTTTTCCCCCTCTCCCATGTCCCCCCGGAACTGTCAGTCCCGTTGTTTTCACCTCCAGATTGTTCGTCCAGCCTGTCCTATCCAGACAGGCCTGCGGAGACAACATGCATAATAACAAGACAGAGCAAAACCAAGCGACACTGTACAACAACACATCAACAACATCAATCCACTGACGAAGAACAAATTAAAATATACCAAGCAAGAAAAACTTGTGTTTTCCAGTCTAGCCTGTTGGGGCACCATGCCCTGTCTCCAATGTCCACCCTCATCATTCCCTGGGGATCTTGCTACTCCCCTCCCCTGACCAATAAAATGATTTTAACATTTTTTTTAAAAAGGGGAAAAAAAGAGCTAGTTGACATTCAACCATTTCAAGATATAGCATATGATCAACAACTAATGGTATTAGAGGAAGATGTAGAAGTTTCACTGAAGGTTTGAGCCAAAAACAAAGTCCCAGGAACTGACTGAATATCCACTGAAATGCTACAATAAGCTGTTGAAGCACTGGGAGAACTCTATGTCAAGAAATTTAGAAGACAGCTACTTGGCCAACTGACTCAAATAATAAAAGCCCTATTTGTAGCCATTTCAAAGAAAGGTGACCCAACAGAATACAGAAATTA